GGTCGACTGAGTCGAAAGCCGCTTTTAGGTCGAGAAAAATAAAAATGGTGGGTCTACGAAAGGAGTGTCTATGTTCTAGAATTTGACGGAGTGTGAAGATGTGGTCAATACAGCCTCGACCAGGTCTGAGACCGGCCAGGTATACTGCACATGAACCTAAATTGGAGATTAATAATGGTAATGTGCAGTAGAGAAAGGAGAACGTAACTTCTTGATTTGTCCATTTACCAAAACAAAACTGAATGATTCTGCCCCTGACCCTCAACGATGCTGACACAGATACGTCTTAGTTTCCAGCCTTCTTCTTTGCTATTTAAAGGCAGAATTTTCTTTGCTGCTACTTTGCGTAATAGTACCTATTTGTATAGTCACGATGTCGCAATCAAACGTTTTTAATGCTTCACCGATCAGCACGTTCTATCGACAATCAAATCGGAGGAGAAAGCAGGACACTCAAACAATTGATTGTCGACAGTTTGAAATCACGCAAATGATGTAGTTGGTGTTATTTTTTTTCGTGAACTATTTAAAGTGAGCTAGTTGAACTCCTCTGGAAATGTTTCCAAAAGAATAAGCACCTCAAATAGCTTCTGCTGAGGAAATCCTACCCATTGCCTTCTCGTGGCGTAGGTGTTAACACTAAAGTGGGAGGGCAAAGGCGAGTGACCGGTGCTTTCCACCAGGTTTACTGACCACTGGTAGTCAGTCTAGGGGAGTTGGCTAAACCCTGATTCCAAACTACCCACACCTGGCGTAAGAAGCTCACAGTGACACTAATCTTCGGCGCAACTGAACTGGTCTCCAAAGTTAACCTTTGGAGTTGACCACCGTGATGCTCACCGGCAAGTGCGTGGCCCAAGGGCAATCTGGGTACCCTGGGTAGTTAGCCACATCCGAAAGGTGTATGACCTACCCCTACCCCCAGTCACTGGCTCCCAGAGGATCGTCGACTTCCTACTCCACCCCACTACATTGTGGGTCAGGTTATTTTACCAAAGGCTCCGGGTAGGGTCCCCCAAGAAAACCCTATACCTCGGCCTGGGCAATCGGGTAGCTCCACGCTCACAAGCTAACCTTGGACGTATGAACATGCACATTCACTCATGTCGCAGATTCTTACACCTCTGCAAACTTTTCACTTAAAATCTGTATGCAACACTTCCACTCGCCGCCTACACAATACCCCCATTTTCCCCACTGTTTGTCACACTCCGAATGGTTCCATTGACGTAGGTTTATGTTGTAGCTCGCGACTATCCTTGACATCTGTCTCGGTATTGTTTTGTCATTCGAAGCTAACCTTTCTATTCCTCCGACCTCACTCTGCGTTCAAACTGGCGTCATTCAACGTTAGACCTCTGATGCATATAGGACAACAAGCAGGTTTGGCTCGTACGCTCAAAAGTGTAGAGGTTGATGTGTGTTGCCTCTTGGAAACACGCATCCAGGATCCGAGCTGAGTGATCCGATTAACGTCTCCTTCCAACCCAAAAGAAGCGTTTCAACTGTCCGTCTCCGGGGTCCCTGTCACTTCAGCGTTTAGTCAAGCAGGTGTTGGTACTCCCTTAAGCCCTAGGGCCGAGGCTGGTCTATTGGATTGAATCCCGATAGATATCCGACTATGAGCAGTGAGACTCATAGGCTCAAATAAAGTCAAAAAGCAGAAACCAAATGAACGATGCTTATCGTGGTTTCTGCATACGCTCCCACGGACTGTAGCCCGGATACAGTCAAGGACGTTTTCTATCACAACCTACATGAGCTTTTTCTCAAAGCACCTAAGATGGATATGGTAATCCTGGCTGGAGACCTTAACGCACGCGTTGGTCGTCTGTCACCCGATCAGACCCACCTTGGTGGCTATCATGGCCTTGATAGCTGCCGTTCAGATAATGAATAAATAGACTTCTCAGCATATGCTCAGAACACGGTCTGTTCCTCGTTACCACGAACTTCAGACACTCTAAGCGTCATCTCGTCACCTCTCGTAAG